AAATATTTGGAGCAACCCAAAGAAGAAGAATTAGTAAATAATGCAAAAAAAGAAAAAGAAAAGACATAAGATATTTGATTCATTATCAGGAATAGAATCAATGCTATTGGCCAATCTGTGAATCACTCAAGATTCATATCAAGACATCTGATTATAAGAAGAAAAAGAAACTAAACAGGCAAATTGGAGTGTTGCAACAAAGTATATAGAAATTGAGGGAGACAAGAAAGACTTAAAATCATCTAATTTAATCTCTCACCTACCTAATTCAGATAGATCCTGTTTCTGCTACAACTATCTGCTAAATCTCTAATTTTGTTGAGAAAAAAAGTGATAGGTCTAATAAATGATACAGCATGGAATAGCCTGTTCTCATCCTTTCAACACAAAGCCTCTCAACAACCTAACTACTAAGTGTGCTAATTAAAGCCTTACACAGACTGGATCTCTGAATAATTTATCCTACCCAAGAAGAAAGAAGGTATCTTCAAATAAAGCAGCAAATGCTAGTTGATCAAGCATACCACAAATAACCATGACCAAAAAAAGAAAACGATGCAAAGGTGGCAAGACCTGGGACAAAATAATCAGAAATCAGAACTGGACTAGCAAGATTCCTATACAAGAGCTTCTAAAAAGCCATGAGTTCCATGAAGTTCAATACTTTCAACAATCATCAGCCTTCTAAAATGCCAATTAAGTAAATTGACAATCATGCGGATTTCTCTATTCTAATATAATGTTGACAAGTGCAACTACAATTAAAAAAACAATGAAACCAGAATTTCAATTATTAATAGACTTTAAATTTTAGCACTGATATACGAAAATCCACCTTGACATGTGCCTGGCAAAATAAAAGTCCAAAGATGGGACATACCTCCTCTGCACGAAGTGTCCAGTATTGATCATTGATGCTCTCGATTTTCTCATTTAGTGGGAAAATCTACAAAGGTATAATGAATCATAAGGCAACAAAAACGAACAAGAGACCTTAGATAAAGAATGAAATCAACAAGCAATACTGCATATATTTGTTGCTTTAGGCTCCCAAAAATAGCACATTTATTTGAAAAATGTTATGTACTTTCCAAAAATCCAAGTTCAAAATCTATTTTTTCTTACCAGGTGAGGGTGGGAGATAATATGTTGCGCATGACTGGTCTATGGAGAGGCACATTATGCCCAATCCAAATAATTTGGGAGTGAAGAAGATTACTTCACTTGAGGCCCCCCCTAACACCCTGTAGCTTGCAACAAGACAAACAAGCAGCCTATGTGGAGGTTCCCTTGAGGATGGTTGATTCCCTAAAAATTCATTCTAGTCGGACTCCTTGGATCAGGATCATTT